TGTGGTACCAATCTCAACAATGGTTCTTATCATGAACCGAGTTCCATCTGTTGAACCCCCAAGCCCCACACCGAGCCCTAAGCCCCACACTGAATTTGGAACAAGCCACCAATCCCCTTATTGAGACTTATAACTCGCCTCTTTAGCCAACAAAAACAACATAAGATGCGTGAATGAATGAATGTATCATCACAAAAATTCCACAACATGAAACGATATCACATTAAACCATATAATTCATGCACAAAAACAACATAGTAGATTCCACACAGAAGCTACACATCTCAACTCAAACATATTACTAATAGACGAATATCACAAAATATTTATTAATATTAATTCATGATATCCCTAACTCATCATTATAGAACCACAACTATTCACTAAATAACCATACATATTATCACAAATATCCCTACAGTAGACCTATAAATACAATTCAACTATCTCATAAAGCACTGTCGCGAGGTAGTTCAGTGTGTTAGCTCTCTAACGCTTCGAACGACAACACATTTAGACTTATAAATCAAAAGTTATGGTAAAAACAAAATTTTAATAATATCAGCGTAATCGACGACTGTTGGACTGTCACTGTAGCTAACGTCAACTTTTTTGCAACACCCTAAATCATTGCAGAATGCAGAATTGTGTATTTTCCACCGTTGAAGGTCTTCTGAACCTCTGATTTGGATTTTGTAAAAAGCCAGATGCTCAGAATTTGATACCCAATAATTATCCAATGATTAAAATCACAATTCACAATTTACCACAGATTAGCATCAACAAAGTCATATATTTTCATACTCTAAAACACTTCATTTCAATGTAATTTCCTCATTGAATCAATTATTTCATGAACAACATAACACCACAACCCCACAAATAATTATTCACATCAATTCATGATAAAAACAGAATTATAATTACTCATTCTCTATACTCATCATCAATCAAATAGAGAATACAAACTCTATTGGAGGTTAAGGAAAATCTCTCCACCCTTTCATGAATTAAGCAACCTTAGATGAAGGATTCCCCTTTACCTTATAATTCCAACAAAAACAAATAATCTCTATGAGGTCTCCTTCTTTAAGACATAGCTCCATTTTCCCTTCAAAAGCTCTTTCTCTCCTTTTGTCTCTTTTCTCAAATTACACATACTGATAAAACTGGGCTAATTTCTCTTATTTAAAATATACTAGATTGCCGACCCATGCTTCGTACGGGTATATTGAAATAATTTTTTTTTTATAATAGCTGATATTTAAGTTTTTATTTGAATATAAAATTATTTTGTAGGCCTTTAGATTATGTTTGCAACTATACTATTAGTTTTTGAATGTGAAAGACCATAAATTAGAAGAAAAAAAACTTTTTAATCAATAATATGTGAGATTAAATTACACCTATTTATACTATATCTACTTACATAGACAAATTTTATAAACCTTTATTTGTAAGAAATCGTAAATTTAGACCTTTATTTTATATGTGAAATTCATTTACTCATTATATTAATGATTCATTTTAATTAATAAATAAGTTTATTTACACTTTTTAACAACCGTTATTTTCATATTATTTTTTAAAATATGTTTTTCTCACCACACCAACCTTTGAACTGCTTATTTTTATATTCTTTAATTAAATCACTCATTATATTAATGCAAAGTTTTAATTAATAAATTGATTTAGTTATTTTTTTTAATTATTATTTTCTATTATATTTTTAGAAGATTTTCTTTCCACACACCAACCTTTGATCTCTATTTTTCTAAAACTTTTTTTTATTATACACTACTCATTTTCGGACATTAAACTTATACAAAATAATTAATTAATAAATTCTAAACTTACAATTTTATTAGAGTATATTGTTATTTTATTAATATAATATTATATTTAATTTGATATAACTTTTATTTTCATCCTAATAAATAATAAATAGTTTATTAAAAAGTATTTTGATTTTGATTTGTTTTATAATTTATATTTATTTTATCATATCATTAATTCGAAGAAAGATAGAGGATATCATTTTATGTACATCGTTGTATGAAATTTAGTTTACTCAACAAAATAATTGATGCTTTTTCTTTTATATTTTTTCACTAATAAGATATAAATGCAATTTGTTGCAAAATTGATTTGATAAGTAAAAATTGATAAATTTCAATCTATTTAAAAATTAAATATAATAAAGTTTTAACTTAGTTATCAAAAATAAAATTTATATTATTTTTAGGAATGTCACAAATTTATTTTAAAAATTAGATGATAAAATTAATTGTATCCAAATAACCATAAACTATAAAAAAGAAACATTTTTAATAATAATTACTTTAAGTGAAATAGTTATATAACTATTAAGATAATATAAATATAAATTATAGAAATATCTATACTATAATAACAAAAATTATATAAATTAAATTATTATTAAGATAAAATAAGTATAAAATATAAATAATAAAATATAATTAATAAAATATAATTACAAACATCTAAACTTATATAATAGAAAAAATAGATTAAATATCTAAATGACTAAAACAAAAAACTAGTAGAACATGAGGCAAATGAAACTTAAAATATAACGTTAATGAAGTTAATTGTGTGATAAACTTTTAATTTTGTAGCTTACATAAAGTAAGTAAAAAAATAATTAGTAATAAATAATTCCTACTCAATAATTATATATATATATATATATATATATATATATATATATATATATATATATATATATATATATATATATATATATATATATATATATATATATATATATATATATATATATATATATATATATATATATATATATATATATATATATATATATATATATATATATATATATAAAATTTATTAAATTGATAATAACAATAATAAAATATTTTTTCAATAGATTTTGAATTCAAAAATATAATTAAAATTTTATAACTTAGTCCTTATTATTATGATTATTATTATTTACTTTTATTTTTTTATTGCTATGGCTCAATATTATTATTATTATTATTATTATTATTATTATTATTATTATTATTATTATTATTATTATTATTATTATTATTATTATTATTATTATTATTATTTATTTCTATTATATTACTTTTTAAATTATTAATATTATGTCAATTATTAAATAATATATTTTTTATTATTTAGATTATTACTTATTATTTATATTATTATTATTATTATTATTATTATTATTATTATTATTATTATTATTATTATTTATTCTTTATGTAGAGTTAATTAGTAAAATTAGAATTAGAGTTTGTGCTTATATTTACTATTGAATTGACATGTATTTAGAGTTGTCATGATGACAACCTTATCTTAAGTAGATATTTAGAATTTTTCTACACAATTTTTTTCAGTTATCTCATTAACATTCAATTTTCTTAATTCACACTATTGCCTCCAACTCCCAAATTCTTTGCTCTCATTTGTTTCTCATAATTCTCCATATTAGTCTAATTTTATCCTTCTATTATTTTATTTAATTAATTTAAATAAAATACTATTTATTTTAATAATTAATTAACTTTAAATTAATTCTATTCACATTTAAGTTCTCTCTGCACTCCAATCTAACGTACATCTAAGCCACAACTTTAATTACTAAGCATAATAATTTAATAACTCACACAAAAGACATAAGTAGAGTAAATAAAATTATCTAACAAAAACAGAGTGTTACAATTTTAGTGGAACAATTTCAATGAACGAATTTTAATTAAATTATTAATCTCAAATCAAATATTAAAGTTATGATTTTTAAAATATTTTTTAAATTGTGTTTTAACTTTAATCACAAACGTGAAAGATATCATCGTCACTACGAATCTACACAATTACAAAATAAAATATATTATGTAAGAGCAATTGAGGTGAAGAATTATACACGATTTTAATTGAGTTGATATTTAATATAAACGGTTAGAACAATGACTTGTAACATTAGATTAAAAAATCAATAGAACACAAACAATAAAATAATAAAATACGAAGTTTGACCAAATATGTCTCCGGTCTCTTTTTTATGGTTGAATATTCTCATTCAAAATGTCAAGTGTGTGGATTTGTCTAACAAGCACTAACAAGACGACACATAATTTCTTATCAATGCAACAAAAAGTCAAAATTAGAAAGGTTAAATATCAAATTTCTAAGTTAGTTTCATAGTCATAGGTAGTAACAAAACATATATTTCAATTGGTTTGAAAGAGTATTCAATAACTTCTGCTAAAAGAATTGAGAATTTTCTTCACCATTCTTCTTGGTGATACAAAATACAAGCTCAAAAAGTGTATTGATAATTATTAGCCTAAAACTTACATTATTTAGAATTATTCTAGAAAAGAGTGTATATATTTTTATAGTGACTACATGAAGTAATCTAAAAAAAAATTGAAAATTAATTTAAAAAATAAAAAATTGTAAAAAACTGAAATTTATTAGATGTGTTTGGATGTCATTTTGTAAAAAACAGTCGGTTTAAATTGAATTTCAGATTAATTTTTCAGAATCGATCTAAACCAAACCGAACCACATACGTATATTCTTATACTTATTTATTTTTTATTAATATGATATGTTATGTAAATTTATTATTAGATGATAATAATTTTTTTAATAATATTTATTAATTTAATATAATCTATTTATTTTTATTATTTCAATCATAATCGATCACTCTCATTTTATAATATTAACTTTTAATATATTATATATGTTATATTATATCAAACATATAATTTTTTAATAGTTTTATAATATAAATAAAAATATAATGTGTAATTTGGATATTTATAAATTGATCCAAATTAAACTGCATAAAATCAGATCGGATCGGATTGAATTTTGTTAATATATCATCCAAAATCAAAATAAATCAGAAATAAATTTATCTTTGAATTAAATGCGCTTTTGTCTTAAAACTGATCCAAACCAAACCGTCAACACTCCCAGTCGTAATGAAGATTTCATAGCCATGGAGAATTGTAAATAGGAGTTGCAATAGATTTAACTTGAAGATATTTGTGAAGTGTTTCTAATCCATAATCTCTCCCAAATCCACTCATCATATACCCTCCAAAAGGGCAGTCATTATCAAAGGCAAAGTAGCAATTGATCCAAATGATACCCGCACGAAGGCAATTTCCAAGTTATGGTTCACAATCCCTGCTGCTAGGCCATATTTAGTATTGTTGGCCTTCTTAATTGCTTCATCAATGTTCCTACAATATTTAAATCCAACGTTGTGGTGGAAAAAGTCACAAACATATCTTGAAACTAATATTAGGCTCTCCGAAAAAATATATGAATGCAATTTGGGTTCCGACATCATTACTTTAGAAAAATGATATTTTTGACTGTGACATAACTCTTATCATGATTTCGGAAAATGAAATATTTGAATGTTTTCATATGTGTCAATATTGTGTTTGTATTCAACATTTACATATATCATACATCAGACACGTCTTCAATCTGAAATGTTGGTGCTACATAGATTTTAGATATCAATGCAACTTTTACTTAGACTCTATTTGACTACAATTTTTCATAATGTTTAAAATTTTAGCACCACGGTAGGTATGATTTAAAACTTTGAAAAAGACGGTGAAACGGAAATATAAGTTGTACTTACTTGAACTTAGAATGTGTCATAACAAGTCCAAATATTTCATCTTGTGCTATTAGCATATCATCCTAAAGAAGTTTTTTTCAAAAATAACAGATAAAAATATTCCATACAATATTTCAGTTCAAGATGAAGATTTAGATGATTTCATTTTTCTTGGTAGAGTTGAAATATACCTTAACATTGGTAAAAATAGTAGGCTCTGATAGAAGACATAGCAGATCTAGAAAATATAGGGAAGCTTTTCATTTCTGTTATTTGAACTGCAATGTTAGTTACAGATAGTGCACACAGTTGCATTTATAAGGCAATCTGTGTGACCTGCTACAGCAGGTAGGCAAGCATACAGGACATGACAAGTGCCAGTCATAACAAGCTTAAAGTAAGGCTTAACACTTCTATTATTTTCCTTACTCTAATACCCCCCCCCCCCCCCCCCCCCCACACACACACACAAACTCATGGGGAGCTGCATGAAGCAACCCTGAGTTTGTGTCTGAAATCCAGGAATTTAGCAAAAGAGAGAGGTTTGGTGAGCACATCAGCAATTTGATCCACACCAGCAATGTGAGCTACACAAATATGCTTGGCAAGAACTCTTTCTCTCACAAAGAAGAGGTCAATTTCCATATGCTTCGTCCTGGAGTGCATAATGGGATTGTGAGCCAGCATCACTGCAGACTGATTGTCACACAAAACCACTGGCTGTTTTGCAGGTACACAAAGTTCAGCTAACAAGGTTTGAAGCCAAAGTAAATCAGCAGTGGCCTGAGCTAGACTCCTGTATTCTGCTTCTGTGCTGGACCTGGCAACCACGGGTTGCTTCTTGGACCACCAGGATACTAAATTTCCTCCAAAATAAATGGCTGCACCAGACGTACTATGTCTATCATCAGGGTCTGAAGCCTAATCAGCATCACAGTAAACTTGAAGAGAGGGAACTGCAGATGGAACATAAGGAGAGAGATGAAGACCATACTGAATAGTACCCTTGAGATATCGAAGAATCGTCTTAACAATAACCCAATGCGTTTCAAGGGGGTGAGACATAAACTGGAAAACTTTATTTACAGCATAGGCAATATCAGGGCGTGTAATGGTTGCATATTGAAGGGCACCAACCACTGACCTGTACATATAAGGATCAGCAAGAGCAGGGGAGCCAAGTTTAGTTAGTTTGCAGGAGGACTGCATAGGAGTGGCATTGGAAATGAATGTGCTGGGAGCAGAATAGGTAAGAGCTGGCCTTGCTTGAGCAGTTGGAGGTCGTGTCCACACATTAGCAGGGAAATGACCATAGGGCACCTTAGGAAACTGCCAAGGGGAAGCATGATAGGGACTGCTACTGTAAGAGGGAGGCTGAAAGTTCTGATTAAACCTATGCCAGCAATTTAAAGATGAGTGTCCAACTTTGGAGCAAACTTGACACTGAACTGTAGAATTTCTGCCACCTGAACCTTTTCCACGACCACCTTTGTTGGATCTGCCACCTCTAAAGCTGGAATACTCAGGCTCAACACGAGAGGGAGCTACTTGTGAGTGAGCAGATTCAGTGTTTCCAGATTGAGGATTTTCAGGGGAAGCAGCTTGAGGTGAAACATGTGTAAGATTGAGAGATCCAAGATCTGGAACAGTAGTCTTCTTAAATCTGTTCAACCTCAACTCATGTGCAACAAGGAGAATTTCCACTTCATCCAAATCCATATCACCAAACTTACTCTCAACAACAGAAACAACTGGAGCATATTCACTAGGAAGCCCCTCAAGAATCACATCAATGTGATGAGAGCTGGGAATAAGATCTCCAATTGAGGCTAGAGCATCCACAGTAGCGCGAATTTTCAACAAATAGTCAGAAACAGATTGAGATTCCAGAGTTAGGGCACGCAATTCCACACGCAACTGGCGTGCATGAGCACGAGTTTGCTTCTGGAAATAGCTGAATAGACGATCCCAGAGCTGATGCGCATGAGAGCATCCAAGGACACGCGACATAATTTCGCTCGAGAGTGTGGATTGAAGCCAAGATAGAAGCAACTGATCTTTCTGAAGCCAAACAGAATATGCAGGATTAACCATACCTTGGCGACGAGCATCATCGTCCAAAAATTTGGACGGAATCCGAGTGCACACCACGAGATCCGTGAGATTATGTGCGTTGATGTAGGGTTCCACCTGTTGACGCCAGAGATGAAAGTTTTTCTCATTGAGTTTGTGCGCGATTTTGAGAGAGAATTGGAGATGACGCATTTCAGCAGTCGCCGCCGTGAACGACGAGGCCGGCACTGTGACGTTAGCGGAAGACGATGATCCCGGTGACGCCATGGATCGAGAATGGCTTAATCTGATACCATGATAGAAGACATAGCAGAGATAGAAAATATAGAGAAGCTTTTCATTTCTATTATTTAAACTGCAAAGTTAGTTACAGATAGTGCACACAGTTGCATTTATAAGGCAATCTGTGTGACCTGCTACAGCAGGTAGGCAAGCATACAGGACATGACAAGTGCCAGTCATAACAAGCTTAAAGCAAGGCTTGACACTTCTATTATTTTCCTTACTCTAATAGGCTCAATATAGTATCCTTTGTTCCCACTTTCCTAACCCCGTGTAATAGTGTGGCTCTTTCATTCTTTCCATGCTCAATATAGGAAAGAATTTTATCAAATTGTGCTTTACTGTTTTGCCAAAAAAAGTGCAAATGAGAGTTATATTAGTAACAGTTTCTATTTTATGTTAAAATATTATGCGATTTCATAGAACAATTAATCTCAATCATTAGTTTGAGATCGACTAGTCCAAATACACGGTTACTAAATTAATTTCAAACGATATTGATTTATGATTTGAGATCAGATGGTCGAGATCAATAATTGCGTGAATCTATTTTCAATTCTTGTACTTATAAAACTTATCCTTAGTTGGGGTTCTCGTTAAACTTGAGGATCAAAAGGGTCACCAACTACCCAAATTTCACTTTTTTCTTTCTTCAACAAAAACTCTTGAAAATGCAACGCACACTTCACCCTGAAAATTACCAAGCTACTTAAGTTACAAGTCATTGTTGCTTTTATGTTACAAGACTTTCCTTGAAGGGAATCATATACCTTATTGTGAAGGATTCCAAATAGAGCAAGATCAAAAGCTTTATCAACATCAGCATCATCGAAAACCATGATAGGTGACTTTCCTCCTAACTTAAGCGATACCAGCTTCAAATTTCTCAACGCAACCGCCTGCATTACACGACGGCCTATTTCGATTAAACTAGTAAAACTGACCTGTAAAACAAACAATACATAATATATGCATCTTTAACTTAACCAATCATATAAAATATTTTTGACACCAAGTTATTGCATCAATATCCATATGTGAGCTTATTGCAGCTCCTGCAGTTGCACCAAATCCAGGTACTACATTGAATACTCCATCTGGAATTTCAGCCTTCAAAATTGTTGAAAGTATAATTCCTTGTGTCGAAGAAGCTTTCTCGACAGAAAACAAGTGTCAAAAATATTGTGTCAAGTGTAGAAACAGTTTGTTACATACATATTTGATTTAGATATAAAATAAATAGATTTGATTTAGGTCTAAAATAGATAGATTTGATTTAGTTCTAAAATAGGTATTTTGGGCTTTTATAGTTTTGGGCTTTGGCTTAGAGAACAAGTTAACCTAAATCTATAAATAGTGGCAGTAACCCCTATTTTTTGTAATCAAGTTGTATTCACATAATTTGTAGTAGCAAATGAATAAGAAGTTTTCACAGTTTATGGCTAGAGAGAAACTCTGTAAAAAATTATTGTTTTTTTTTTCTTTCATATTTTTCATCGTTATTGTGTGGTGATAACAATATTGTTCATCAAGATTGATAGAAATTCATCATAGAAACTGGTGGATTTCCAACATTTGGAATCAAGAGCTCCGGTTGAGCGATCAAGGGAAGAAGAAGAAAATCGATGGCGATGAATTATGCAAGTGAAAATTTCCCATCAAATATTCTGATTCTTAAAGGTGATAACTATGAGAATTGGTGTAAACAGGTGAAGGTTATATTTTATTTTTAAGGTCTTTGGGAACTTGTAAAATATGGATTAGAACCACTTGATGAAGACACTTCAGAAACGGAAGAGACTGAATACAAAAATTGAAGAAGAAGAATTATAAAGCTCTCTTTATAATTCATCAATGTGTTAGCCTAGACAATTTCGAAAAGGTTAGTGATGTAGAATTTGAAAAAGAAGCCTGAGAGATTCTTAAGAAATCTTTTGGTGGTACAGGAAAGGTGAAAGAGACGAGGTTACAAACTTACAAAAGAACGTATGAATTGCTTCAGATGAAAGATAGAGAAAGCATGTCTGATTTCTTCACTAGGATTACGAAACTAGTGAATCAAATCAAGACTTGTGGAGAAACGTTAACAACAAGAGCAGTTGTTTCGAAGATCTTGAGATCTTTGGCTCCGAATTTCAATCATGTGGTAGTTTCCATAGAAGAGTCTAAGGACATGTCAACTTTGTTGAAATAATAACTTCAAGGGACGCTTGAATCTCATGAACAAAGAATGGCTGAAAGAGTTGTTGGAAAGTTGAAGAGAGATGTGGCTTCGCAGGCTCAATCAGCAAACGATACGAAAGGCAAAGGAAAGTGGTTCGACAACAAAGGTAGAGGTGGCTATAACAATTTGACTAGTAGAGGAAACCAACACGAAGAAAATGTGTCGAATCAGAGAAGACCATACCAAATCAATCAAAGAGGTGGTGTTGGAAATAGAGGAAGAGATGGTGGTCGAAACTCTAACAAGAGTCACATTCAATGTTACAATTGTCAGAAGTACGGTCACTATTCTAGTGATTGTCCAGAAAAGCGAAAGAATCAAGAAAGTGATGCAAAGTTTGCAAAACATGAAGAAGAAGAGATGATGTTGATGGTCACAAAAAGAGATGAAGAAAAATTCAAGGACCAATGGTACTTGGATTCAAGATGCTCATCACATATGTCTGGAAGGAAAGATTGGTTTGTCAACATAAAAGCCTCAATGAGAACACAGTGAAATTCACAAATGACAATACCCTAGCAACTGAAGGTATTGGTGATGTTATAATTATGAGGAAAGATGGAAGGAGGTTAGTAATTTCCAATGTGTTGTACATACTAGGCATGAAGAGCAATTTTCTCAATATAGGAAAGTTGGTCGAAAAGAACTATAAAGTGTCGATCAAATACAAGATGATGATGAAGAATGGAAAAACACAAGAAATGGGGGTTTGAATTGGAATTTTTAAAATTTAAAGTAAAGAACAAGTTGGTTATCCTGGTTCGTTTGAACTAAAATACTCCAGTCCATCCGCCAAGGTGATTTCGCCTCTCTCAATAAGGTTTTAATCCACTAATCAATCTTGATTACAAATCTACTTTGACAACTGCCAAAGTCTTCTTGAGTATAAACCACAATCCGTTTTTTCTCAAGGAATTTCTCCAAACAATATTTGAATAAATTTGTACAAGAGTGTTTTCTAATAAAACAATATCACAAGGATGTTTTACACAATTTGAATTTTGTACGTTTGAGGAAGATAGTGTTAGCAGCTTTACTTTGCATGTGAAAATCGTGAACGATTTATCCTCAAAACATTGTTTAAATAGGCGAAGCATGAAGGAGCTTTTGGAATGTTGATCAATGACAATTAAGGTGCTTTCCAAAAATAAAGATCATTCCTTCCAGCCGTTACTCTTGAAATGTAAATATTTGATTTGTAACACTTCAAAACATGCTTGATTCAAAAGATGGAAGTAACCGTTGCTGCTTGCTTCAGAACTTTGTAGATCAGAAACACAGGATCCTGTTTGCAGCGTTAGAACTTCTTTCAGAGATGTTTATAATCAGAGTTAAAACAACATTTTAGCGCATCTTCTGATCTTCTTCTGTCAGAACTTCTCTGCAAAACAGAATATAATTTTAGGGAGCATAATTGTTCTTTGCGTTTGTTATCATCAAAACTCTTACAAGGGTTGTAGAATCAAACTATGTTCTAACAGATGAGAGTCGTCGATACAAATGGAAGATTAATCTTGAAGGCTCCCATGTCTCAAAATAGAACCTCCAAGGTTGAACTTAATGTTATGGAGCACAATATCCTTTCGACTGCAGCTAGAAGAGATAAACGAATATGGAACTATCGACTAGGTCATCTCAACTTCAGAGACATCAGATATTTGAAAAAAAGAAATATGATTTCAGGGTTGCCAAAAATCGATATTCCAAACAAGGTGTGTGAGGAATGTGTGCAGGCGAAGCAGCACAAGAACAATTTCAATAAGGGTGCAGGAAGCAACTCAAAGGCTATTCTTGAAATCGTATACTCTGATGTATGTGAACCAATCTAGGTGGATTCAAATGGAGTTAACAAATACTTTGTTACATTCATAGATGATTTTAGTCTAATATTGTGGACTTACCTGATCAAGAAGAAAAGTGAAGTGATCGATGTATTTGTCAAGTTTAAGTCTATGGTCGAAATATAAAATGGTCGAAAGCTCAAAGTTTTAAGAAATCACGATGGTGGAGATTTGTGTCGAAAGACTTCGAAAAATTATGTGAAAAAGAAGGGATTGTGCATGAGGTGGTGCCACCCTACACTCCATAGTAGAATGGAACTGCACAAAGAAAGAATCTAACCATCATGAATATGGTGAGAAGTATGTTGAAAGGCAAGAATTTACTTAAAGAGTTTTAGAGTGAAGTTGTGTCGACTGCAATATACATATTGAACAGATATCCGACGAAGAAGCTATAAGGAATTACACCAGAAGAATGTTGGTCTAGTGTTAAGCCTAGCTTGAGTTATCTGAAGGTATTTGGATCTATTGTACATAGACATGTGTCATATCAGTTTAGAAGAAAACTTGATAACAAGTCGAGTCAGATGATCCTAGCAGGATATCATTTGAGAGGAGGTTACAAGTTGTTCGACCCAATGAACAAGAAGATTGTGATCAGTAGGGACATGATCATATATGAGCTTAAGGAATGAGATTGGACTAAAAATGTCAAGGAAGATTCAATCAGAAGCTTACTTGAAGAACCAGAAACTCAAGTTGAAAGTAAAGTTTGACAAGAGGAATTTATAGATCAACCAGGTACAAGAAGACCTCTGAGATTAAGACACATGTCTGCAAGGTTGCAAGACTGTGATTACATAAGATGATGTAGTTGATGATGAAGGTGAGCTAGTACATTATGCTTTCTATGTAGATGTCAAACTTGTCAATGCAACTGAAGCATTGAAAGATTCCAAGTGGGTGAAAGCAATAAACAAAGAAGTGAAGTCAATCAAAGACAATAACACTTGGTCACTTGTCAAATTGCCTAAAGACAAGAAGGAAATTGATGTCAAGTAGGTATACAAAGTTAAGATGAATCCCAAAGGGGAAATAACTCAACACAAAGCAAGACTCATGGCGAAAGTTTTTCTCCAGAAATAAGGAATTAACTTCGATGAAGTTTTTTTACCTGTGGCTAGGATCGAAACAATCAGGTTATTTGTTGGTCTAGCAGAAATGAACAGTTGGCACATATGTCAGATGGATATGAAGTGTGGATTCCTGAATGGATTCTTAGACGAAGAAGTCTATGTTTCACAACCAATTGAGTTTGTGAAGCATGATGAAGAGAGAAAGGTGTACAAGCTGCATAAAGCTCTGTATAAATTGAAGCAAGCTCCAAGAGCTTAGAATAATAAGATAGATAGCTTTCTAACGGAGAAGGAATTTGTGAAGTGCACAACTAAACATAGAGTATATGTGAGAAGAAGCAATAGTGAATTGTTTATACTATGTCTCTATATCGATGATTTGTTGATAACAGGTAGCTGTAAAAGTGAGATCAAAGACTTCAAAGGTGACCTCAGCAAGGATTTTGAAATGTCTGATTTGGGTTGACATTTCATATTTTCTTGGCATTGAATCTACAAGAGCAGTAGAGGTTTTATAAAGCATCGAAGAAGATATGCAGGAGAAATTCTCAAGAAATTTAAGATGGAAGAATGCAACTTGACTATTAGACCTGTATAACCAAGACTGCAACTGTCGAAAGATGTAAATGAAGATGATGTCGACCCAACCCAATATAGAAGACTTATTGAGTCATTGAGATACCTTTGTTATATGAGGCCTTACTTAGCTTACAATGTAGGTATGGTAAGTAGATTCATGCAGAAGTCAAAAGTATCAAACCTAGCAGCGACGAAGAGAATATTGAAGTATCTGAAAGAAACTCTCGACTATGGGATTCTATTTTCTGCACCTGATAAAGGAAAATAATGCAAGTTAGTGGGATACATTGATTCAAGTTGGTGTAGTGATGCTGAGGATCAAAAATCTACATCAGGATATGTGTTTATGCTAGGTGGTGCATCATTTTCTTGAAGTTCGATAAAGGAACCATTAGTGGCATTATCATCATGCGAAGCAGAGTACATATCTGCTTCTCTTTGCGCATGTCAAGCAACATGAATGGTGAATTTGATCGAAGAAATCTTAGGGAAAGATCATGGAGAAATTAGCATCAAGATCGATATCATGTCAGTTATCAACCTGGCGAAGAATCTGATAGCACATGGTCGAAGCAAGCACACCAAAATGAGGTTCCACTATCTTTAAGGGTAGGTAGCAGATGGGAAGATAAAATTGGAACATTGCAGAATTGAGAATCAGATTGCAGACATCATGACGAAGAGAGTGCAGGCCGAAATGTTCAAAAGGCTAAGAGCTATGATGAATATAAATAGCTTAGACACAATGAATTAGGTGGTGTGTTCAAAGTATAATTCCTTGTGTAGAAACAACTTGCTCGACAGAAAATAAGGAAGTGTCGAAAAGATTGTGTCAAAGTGTGAAAACACTTTGTTACACACAAATTTGATTTATATCTAAAATAAATAGATTTGATTTAGATCTAAAATAGATAGATTTGATTTAGTTTAAAAATATGTATTTTGGGCTTTTATAGTTTTTGGGCTTTGGCTTAGAGAACAAGCTAACCTAAATCTATAAATAGTGGGAGTAACCCTTATTTTTCGTAATCAAGTTGTATTCACAGAATTTACAGTTGCAAGTGAATAAGAAGTTTTTCACAGTTTGTGGGCAGAGAGAAACTCTAGAGAAAATCGTTTTCTTTCTTTCTTATATATTTTTCATCGCTATTGTGTAATAATAATATTATTCATCAAAATTGATAAAAATTCATCATAGAAATTGATGGATTTTCAAAGAAATATCAATCACATTAAGCTCAATTTTAATCACATTAATATCCAAAACTTAATCAACAAACTTTCTTTAAACTTACATGTTTAGCGAGATGAGCATAAAACAAAGCAGAAAGAGGTGTTTGTTCAGTAGGTTTAAGAATCATAGTACAACCAGCAGCCAAAGAAGGAGCAACCTTAGTAAAAAAATATAACAGTCACAAAATTCCAAGGTATAATATGTCCAACAACACTAATAGGTTCCATCAAAGTATACAAATGAAGATTCCTAGAAGTTTTAAACACATCTCCATGAATCTTATTAGCAGCACAAACATAGTATTGCAAGATATTAGCCGCTTCAGGTACATCAACAACCTTACACCAACTATACAACTTCCCTCCATCAATTGTATCCAATGCTGCAACTTCTTCTATGTTTTCTTCGATCAATATCGTCCATTTCACCATGATCTTCACTCTTTCCTATCAAACATTTAGTAACAATGTCAAATTAATATATTTTGGTCCGTATAACGATTGATTTGATTAAATGCATGCGTAAATAATAGACGATGATTTGAATTTACAGCACCAGACATGCGTGGCCACAGACCATTATCGAACGCTTGGCGTGCAACTTTGACAGCAATATCAACATCTTCTTTGGTAGCTTCAGCAATTTCTATAATTACTTCTTCTGTTCTTGGATCAACAGTTTCAAAAGTTTTTCCTTTTTTTTTTCCAACAAAAATCCAAAATTCATATAAGTTTAAATAGCCAATTTCAATTTTGTCACCAAAAAGTCAGTTAGAAATTTTTAAAAATGATTCCTCAACATTTCTCTTATCAAGTTCTACATAAAAGTATGAAACATTTTGTAATAGGGCAATAAAATTGAAAAATATTATAGAAAAAAATTTGAGGTAAATATTTAGGAAACTAATTAATTTTTTTTAACAAATAAAGTGCTACAAATTAATTGAAACCTAAAACTGAGTCCACAAATTCTTCATTGATGAAAAGTTTTTTAAACTTTATAGTTGGAATATTTTTCATCTGAAGCTCTCTAGCTACTTTTAACTATGTAGTATTTGAAATATAAGTTTAAAAAAATAGTGATTGATAAAATGAGTGTGGTACATTAGTTATTTATAAGGAAAATATGAATATGAGTTTGCATTATGTGAGATATTCTTTTATCCTAACCTTTTGAATGGCACAGCAGAGTCAGAATTTGTGGGCAGTACAAAGAATATGATGGTGCAAAAGAAAAAATGAGTGAAGAAATTGTGTTGCACCTTCATGGTGAGTCTACAATTAACATTTTTTCTCTTTTCAAAAATGACTATAATAAAAATGAAACAATGTCATTGTTATATTTATCAAAAGTGATGCATTATTATAAAGGTCTAAGTGTCTAACACACCACTTCCTCATTTGTTAAGTTTTATCATAGAAAAGAAAAATGTTAACATAAATTTAGTTTTTCTATAATTTGTTTTGTTTTGACAATACTTTTTCATAACTCTAAATGATAATAGTAATAAAGTTATCATTTAAAGCATAAGTCTACATACACCCCAAATGTAAAGTAAATAGTTAAATTATGATACTTAAAACAATTTTCATTTCATTAAAATTGCAATTTCAATTAAAATTTAAAAGTACATTTTTGTCAACAAAGTATACTTTTATGAAAGGGTAGAAATATTCAAGAATAAACTAATTGGAATTAAATAATATTGTGTGGTAATTCAGATTTACAAGTTAAAAATTAGTTATAAGATGGTTAGACAGTTATAACTAGTTTTATAGGAGATTATTACAAGTTTTCACATGTGATTATTCTTAATTTTACATGTAGTTACTAATAGTTTCATATGTGGTTATTACTACATAAATGATATAACACACATTTGTAAAAACAATCAAGTAGATCAATTAAAGAAATAAACCCCCTCTTCATTCTAATCCCATTCAAACCATGTCTAATTTCATCTAAATGCTCATCACCTTGTGTAACAAGTTATCTAAATAAATTGGTATAAATAGTATAGGTTCGATCCATAGCATTCATCACTGGAAAATGATGCACAACCTCAAATTTTCTCACATCAAATCTATAGTGTTTAAGGGAGAACATTATGACAAATGGTGTCCACAAATGAAGGTCATATTCATATTTCAAGATATTTTTGAAATCGTGAATGACGGAATTTTAACATTTGAAGTCAATGCAATAGAAGCACATAAGACTGCTCATTGCAAATTGAGCAAGAAAGTTGGGAAATATATATTCTTAATCCATCAATATGTGGATCCAAACATCTTTAAGAATATCAAGGAGAAAGAAATGTCTAAAGAAGGAGAAGTTGCAATCTTTGAGGAAGCATTATGAAAGTATGCAAATGAATGAGGATGAGAAAGTTACAAAATTCAACTCAAGATTGATGTTGTTAACCAATCATATGTAGTCTTGTGGTGAGAAGACCACTAAATTTCAAAAAGGTTGAGAAAGTCTTGGGAGCCTTAATTTCAAAGTTTGACCATATAGTCATCGAAATTGAAGAATCAAATGACCTATCTGATATGAAGCTTGAAGAGTTGTTGCAAGTCCAGAGTGCACATAAGGGGGGGGGGGGGGGGGGGGGGTAAATAGGTGCTTTGAACGATTTTCGGTTTTAGCAAAGTGTTACTTGAATTTTCTAGTTTGAAGGTCTTTATGAAAGCGGTAAAGTGCAGAAAAGTAAAGAACGCGGAGGGATTATACTAGTTTCTCTCACGGTCTGAGAGTACGTATAGTCTCCTTACAATATGTAAGAGATTTCACTATTTGTTAGAACCTTGTACAAGCCTAATCATATCCTCTATACAAAAGTTGTTAACCAAATCAATAAGGCAAACTACCTTATGATTTACAAAGTAAAAAAAGAAAACAAACCTCTCTTTTTCACTATCTTGTTTCCAACAATCCTGGATAATAAGGTATTTACAAAAATCTGGATTTTTATAAGAAGTTTGAAGTTGTAAGACTTTTATCAATTGTTAGAATTGATCTTCTCTTTCAAGTAAAAAATTCACAAGTTTGTTACATAAAGTGCTCAGATATGTAATGATGAAACTTTTTTTTGATGCAATGAAATTGAATGCAGAAAATTTCACACAAAAGTTTATGACACAACACACTTGGTTAAATTTGAAAGATTGAGTTTGAATTGTAATGAAAGAGGTGAGTTTTCAAAATCTGAAACCTTCGGTATTTATATCAGTATAATATCTTTTTTTAAGAAGCATGATATTATGAAACAATGTCATGATTGAGGGATGCTTTTTGAAATTCCTTGGAATCAGATTTAATGTAAAAAAGTGCTTCAGTAGTAACCAATTAATACATAATCTTAACCAGTTACAACTAAAGTGTTTTCTGAAAATTTGAATATTTTGAAGGTGTAACTGGTTACAGGTATTGGTTAACCGGTTACACCAGATGCTGAAATGAAAAATTATTAATTTTTGTTTGTGTAACCGATTACACCTGATGTTTTTGTTAAAAATACCTTAAAAACAATGTTGGTTCAAACTCATTGGATGTCAAAACTTATGATATGCATCAAGATGAAATGATCATGATATTTCTAAGCATTGTGTTAAAAGACACGATGGAATTTCAACTTGTACCTTAATTAAATGATCAATACTTTAAGATCCAAAACTATCTTGATAATGTTGATTAAGATATAAGTCTTGATACAATAACTTTGACTATGAAGCTTGTTCTCATCCTTTGATAATGCACATAATCTTTAAAGGTGTATTTGTCAAAATACAATATTGGAGAAGCTTGTCTTTATAATTTCCCTCTTTTTGATGATGACAACCATTGAAACTTTGAGAAGATTGAATCTTTTAGAATATTGAAATTTTGTAAAGCTCTTTAATCAGGTGTTTCTCCTAACTTTAATAACTCTCCATTGATCAAAGCTCCCCCTTGATCAATAGATAATTTAAATACTTTGTAGTTGCTGCAAAAGTTAGAGACAAGCACAAATATATACATATATATTCTCCCCCTTTGTCATTAGCAAAAAGGATGTGAAAACGAGATAAAAACTGATGCATAAGGTAAACCAAAACAGAAACTTTGAAACACAACATAACATAATACATTTTATACCACATGCTTAATTATGAAAAATCAAAAAGAATATATTAATTCATATATAGAGTTGTGAGTTAATCCAAAAATTGTATTAAAGAGAATGTACCTTGAGAATATTTGTGAATGAAATTTGATTTTCTTATTATTGATGGTAGATTTGTATTTGTATGAGGATTACACATCATGATCATCCAATATTCCCAGTTCTCTTCGAATCTTGAAGAGTGGTTCTTTTGCTAGAGGTTTTGTGAAAATATTTGCCAATTGGTTATGAGTATTCATAAATGTTGCTTCAACATCATCCTTAAGTACATGATCTCGTAGAAAATGATGTCGAAAGTCTATATATTTGATTCTTTAGTGCATGACAAGATTTTTTAGTTATGTTTATTGCACTTGTATTATTACATTTCAATGAAATGCATATAAGATTACATTGTAGTCGCAAAGTTATTTCTTTAACCAAAGGATTTGTTCATAATAAATTCTTTCTACAATATATTATGCTTCAATTCTACTAAGAGCCACACATGCTTTCTTTTTGCAGGACCATGACACTGGAGCATTTCCTAGGATATGGCATGTATCTCTTGTGCTTTTCTGGTCAATTTTATAGCCTATATAATTTGAGTCAGAACAACCAATTAAATCACATACACTACCTTTAGTATGCCATAAATCGATGCTTGTTGTTCCTTTAAGGTACTTCGTGATTCTCTTCACGAAGGAAAGATGTGATTCCTTTGGATTTGCTTGAAATCGGGCACAAAGACAAACACTAAACATAATGTTTGGACGACTTGATGTCAAATATAAAAAAGAACCAATCATACCTCAATATTTTGTTATATCATTAGAAACACCGAATTCGTCTTGATCTACATATGTTTTGGAACCCATTGGAGTAGTCATAGCTTTGCAATTATCTATATAAAATATTTTTAACAATTATTTGAAATACTTGGATTTATTGATGAAAACGCCATTCTTTAATTCCTTAGTTTGTTTTCCAAGAAAATAATTCATCTCACCCATCATGGACATCTTAAATTCTCCTTGAATCATCAATGAAAAATCTTCACATAGATATTTTTTTGTAGATCCGAATATGATGTTGTAAACATAGACTTGAACCAATAAAGTATGACTTTTGATTTTCTTAATAAACAAACTTTTATCAACTTTACCTTTTTCAAATCCTCTTTCACATAGAAAGTTTCTAAGTCTATCATACCATACTCTCGGTGCTTGCTTCAAGCCATAAAGAGCTTTTCTCAACTTGAATACATGCGAAGGATTCTTGAAGTCTTCAAAACCTGGAGGTTGTTTGACATAGACATCCTTATTGATGTATCCATTCAAGAAGGTGCTCTTGATGTCCATTTGGAATAACTGAAAATTTAATGAACATTTAGAAGCAAGTAATAAACAAATAGTTTCTAATCTTGCAACCGGAGTGAATTTTTCTTCAAAGTCGATTCCTTCTTCTTGATGATAACCTTGAGCCACTAATCTTTCTTTGTTTCAAACAATTATACCATTCTCATCAAGTTTGTTCTTAAACACCCATTTGGAACCTATGACGTGTTTATCACTGTACCTACGTACGAGTTCCCAAACTTGATTTCTTTCAAATGTATTTAATTCCTCTTGCATGACAAGTATCCATTGGTCGTCTTATAAGGCTTCATTAATCTTCAAAGGTTCTATTTGAGAAACAAATAACATATTCAAGTAATCATCCTTGAGATTTATCCTTGTTGAAACTCCTTTGCTTATGTCACCAATTACTTTGTCAATTAGGTGATCACAATTGGTTCTCCATTTTTGAGGAAGGTCATTATGATTTTTCTCTTGTTGAATGGTTTCCTCTTTGTGTTTCAATTTATCAACTTTGTCACTTTTGGAAACGTCTACTAAAGGCATTTCTAAAATATAACCATCATCACAAACACTTATGTCCTTCTTAGAGGTGTTAAAAACATGAATATTGCCCCTGTTCAATCTTCTTGAACCTGAAGAGTTAGATTGGCGAGTTTGCCGTTCGTGACTCGAAGGTAAAATATGATTGGACACTAGAGTGCCCGTAAATTTGCACTCGTCAGAATGTTGAGGGAATGGGCTTAAAGATGCCATTTGGAGATG